TTACTTTTGGCGAGTAAGTTATATGTTTTTTGACATTTGAATGTGGTGGGTGATAATCTTCAATGTGTTACTTGGAGAGATATTTTCTTTTTTCGAGTTTCCTATAAAGCAGTGATTTATCTAATTGCTTTGTGTCACGACAAAAATCGCAAATTGCTTTGCTGCATTTCATTTATAAATAATGTGAAAATTCCTATACTAATAGATAATATAAATACATGACCACATTTCTTTATGTCTACAATAATTTTAGTAATAAACGCATATTGTTGCCAAAAGTATACATACAACTTTTTTTCAAAATGAATACTCAATATTATTACCTACATTTTGTTACTTATTTTTTACGTAACCTATGACTACATTCCTATAAAAAACGATTTTTTAACATTCGAAACAAAAAATCATGCATTTAAGGGTTAACATGGTGGAGATTGATTTTTAATGAAAGCTAAAAAAACATTTGTTAACTAATTCGAGTACGCTCTATCGAATAGTGGTATTTACAATTTCCTGCAATGACAATAAATGGGATAATAAAGAGTAACCTTGACTTTTTTCGGTAAGAACGTGTCTAAGAATGCTTTTACAATATAATTAAAGCGCAGGCTTCACGCAACAACGTTATAAAAGTAATAAGGGTTGAAATAAGTATTTACTTAAATAGTTTACTTTTATGGGGTATCCCATAATTATGGTACTTTCGAAAAATGAGAGTATTTGAAGTAACTTTCTCCTCGGCGAAAATGCAAACCGCGGCTTCGTTTACGAGTTATCAACGAAAAACAGTAACCAATGAGAGGCGAGGAACAGCTGGCGCGTCGCGGCCGAGCGACAGAACTTGTCTTCGTCCGCTGATTGGTCCTACCGCTTCGCGCCAGCCGAACTCGTCTCTCATTGGTCACTGTTTTTCGTTGATAACTCGTCAACGATGCCTCGGAGAAAATTTTTGCAAAGGAAAAGCTTACTTCAGATGACCTCAGGAGCCCCTCGCTTCCCGGAAGTAGCATAATTCTGGAACACCCTGTACAGTAATATGTCTCGTTGACTGCGCACCAACTATGCCGTTCGAAAGTTCGCGTAATGCTTACCTGACGGACACCTTCCTGCGACCACGTTCTCTTTTGATGCCACAATATGCCTCAAAATATTTCAGATAACGGGGATTTCGGAGTCGTACTCACGAATAACACCGTGGCAGAGGGCGACGAATGTGTGTTGATCTGCGCTGCTTCGATTCGAAATTATCTGGACAACTTTAATTGGAGCATCGAAAGCGGTCCGATTGTACAATCTGGTAATTCGATTTCCGACATTCGCACTACGAGAGCGTTAGAAAATTTATTTTTCAATTTGGTTGGCCAGTAAGTTCGTGCGATTTTTGACGATGTTCATCTTCTCTCGAAGTCTAGTTCGCAATTAATAGTGAATAGTAATAGTAATAGTGAACGCGCAAACCTGTATTTTCAACTTCAAATTGTTAAGATCGATTTTGATTTTTACAATTAAATATTGTATCGAGGACTTCAGAGGGCATTTACGATACATTATGTTTTTTTTTTATTATAAAAGAGGGAGAAACGCAAGCCAAACGTGCAAGAAACTGCGTGACATGTACGGATCGGACACGATTAAAGAACGTGTACGAGATTTTTCTCTTGAAGATGCATCACGCGCTGGCCAACCATAGGAGGAGTGAATAATGATCAACCGAAGAGTTTAATTGAATGTAACCCACGTTACACAACGCAGGATATTCCCCAGATCCTAAAAATATCAAAGTCAAGTTTAGAACGTCACTTCCATGGCTTCGTCAGCCGACTTGACGTTTGGGTTTCGCACCTGTTGACCAAAGCGAATCGCTTTATCCGCGTTTCAAGCTGTAAATGATCGTGGAATTACAGCGATAAACCACAACGAACGATAGCAAAACCAGACCTTCGACCGAAAAAAGTTGTGCTTTCAATTTGGTGGGATTACAAAGGTGTTTATGGATATTTCATAAAAGGGGAATTATGAAGTTGCCTAAAAGAGACTGTTATGAAAAGAAAATGGAGAATGTGTAATTGAATAAAGAAATTTCGTCGCGTACAAACAATCTCTCCTTATTTACGCGTCATAAAAATCCGCGCGAACTTATTGGCCAACCTAACACAATTAATTTTCAAAATCAATAAAGTTCAACGAGATATTGAACGAACCGAAAATAATACGCCTGAACCTGCAGACAGAATTTCTATCGATCGAGGAAGGACACAATTGGCGTACAGATCAATTTTGAAGATACAGAACGCGAAAATCGAGGACTCGCAGGAATATATTTGTACAGGGACGTCCACTGGTAATTTGACTCGGTCTACTGGATATCGTTTGGAAGTGAAGGGTAATTCGAAATGCAAATTCCTAAGATGGTTGAATGTTGTATTGTTGGATAACATTGCTTTCGATTTTAGCCGCACGAGCGCCTCTCATCGTCGATACCAATTTGAATAAAAACGAGATAATCATCGATGTTACCACGCCAGGTCACAAGGCAGTAGGTTTTCACTGTTTCGCGGAGGGTATGCCTAAACCGAGCATTACTTGGTTTAAGGTAAGCGATTAGAATTTCCTACTGAGTTTCTAATCTGGTTACTATATTCCTGCTTATACAGGGAGACCCGAAGTTATTGTACAAACTTGAAATGTAAGGTTGCTGAGGTGATTTGAAGCAACTTTTTCCTTAGCGAAAATGTTCTGCGAGGCTTCGTTTACGAGTTATTAACGAAAACCATGGACCAATTGGAAAGCGTGCGTCGCCGGCGCTCCGTCCTCGCGGCCAATGCCGCGACGCGCCGGCCGTCTGACGCAGCGACAGTGATCGCGAGGGCGGGGCGTCAGCCGAGTCCACCTCTCATTGGCCAGTCTTTTTCATTAATAGCTCGTAAACGAAGCCTCGTAGAACATTTTCGCTAAGGAAAAAGTTACTCGAAGTTACCTCAGAAATCTCTTATTTCCCGCTTGTACAATAATTTTTGGACACTCTGTATCTTATTTACTGTTCTATTGTTTCACCGTTTTTCTATGTTCGGAGATTTATTTTGGTGCAATGATTGAAAATTGACATACCTTTGGCAGGACGGTGCACAGCTGGCAGTTAGTAATGCAGTGTACAAGTTTTCGAAGAACTCTCAAAAGCTCGAACTAGAATATCCATTGGAAGTCGACAGCGGCGTGTACGTATGTCGAGCGGAGAATCGAATTGGAAAAGTGGAAGTTTCTCAGCGATTAACGATAAAGGGTTATTTATTTTCAAATTGAACGCCGTAGGTGCACGGGAACAAGGAATTTCACTTTATGCCCCTTTTAATCAACAGGTTTCGGAATTGGGAGTATCAGAACTGTAGGTCTGATTATTTCAATTGCCGTGTTAGCAGTGGTCGTTCTGATCCTGGTGATCTACTTCGCCAACATGTTTCGCCGTGAAAGGGTATCTTCGGTTTATGATATTACGCGGTGTTATTTGATGTCATAACAATTTCACCAATTTCTATGGTTTTTCAGATTAGCAGGCAACAATTAATGGAAGCCGGCCCTGTGCAATTTCAGAGGCAAGCTAACGAGAGTTTTAAACCAAACTTGTATGTGGATGATCCAGCTAATCTCGCCCGTCATTCGTAACAAATGGTAATTTCCCATAGAGTGTACTTATGTCTTTCAAATGGGAATCTAGTTCCGAATCTCTATTGTACAGAAACATTGGATGCTAAGTTTACTTCTATACTTTGTTTGCACCTATTGCCACGTATCTCCTCTTCTCAAATTGTCTATTTTTGTGCGCAATCTGAGCCCGAATTAAGGAGAAATTACTGTATCCGTTTGAAATGACATAAAAATATGTAATTTCTCTCAACAACATGTAACATCGACAACATTTTGTACATTCGAGGAAATGCAAAATAATCTGTAAAAAATAAAGATTTAAATTGCTATAAATAAATGAGAAAAGATTGTCTTCATTGGAACGTCGGCAATCGGATTATCGGATTCAGTTCTCTTGTTAATGAAATAACAACCAGAATCTTAGATGGATTTGTTTAGACTGTGAATTTGTAATATTTCGTAGTTATCTTTACATATTTTTTATCCACGTTTACGTTTCGATCAGAAAGAAGGGAATTGTATAATGTGAACTGGTTGCATTTCAATTCACTCTTCCGTCACTATATATTGTAGATGTTTATGTATCTTTCAGTTTCTGTATTTTAAATTACATTGATTAAGAATGTAGGTTCAAGATTGTCGACACAAGATTATAAATGCGAATTTAATGCGAACATATTTCGACACAGGAAAGAGCAGTGTTCAGAAAACGTTGGAACTAATATTGTCATGTTGAATGTTATATCGTAATTATATAATTATAGTCAAGTATTTCTAATCGTTATTGTTTTTATCGTGTTGAATCGCGTCAGTTAACGCAGGCATCTCGTAAAGAGAGAACATATTGTATTTTATACCTTCTTTAATTGAAAGTTCAAATAGTGAAAAGTATTAAAGTTATTTCTATAACTAAATATAATTCAATCGATCTAATTGAAATTACGCCGCGTATTAGCATGCTAATTGCGCGAATCGCGACGTCGCCATCGCTGCGGCAGAGCCGCAAATCCGGCGCGCGATTCAAAAAAACAAGAACAAATAAATGAAATATAGTGCTTATGTCAGAGTGGCGTCTGATTTTCCATTTTGAATCATGCATTTTCTATAACATATGCGAGATCAGCAACCTGAAAGCCGTAAGAGCCGCCATCCGAAAATAGGGGATTCCTGAGGCCATTCGAAGCAAATTTTTCCTTAGCGAAAATGCAATCCGCGACTTCGTTTACGAGTTATTAACGAAAAACAGTGACCAATCAGAGGCGAGATCATTTGGCGCGAGACGGCCGAGTCAATCAGCGGAACTGGGCTCCGTGCACACGTTGGCTGGGCCGCCGCGCGCCAGCCGAGCTCGCCTCTTATTGGTCGGTGTTTTTCGTTAATAACTCGTGAACGAAGCCTCGGAGAAAATTTTCGCAAAGGAAAAAGTTGCTTCGAATGACCTCAGGAACCTCCCATTTCCGCATTCGAGGCATTTTTGGGACACCCTGTATACTCGTCGAACACAGCTAACTGGTTAATGAAGGATACCACTATGCGTCAAGCCTCAGTGGAGTGCACTGATAAAAGTACTTGCGGTGAGATTCGCGGGCAGCGCGAAATAAAAATGAACAATGGTTAAAATGACGTCGTCGTCGTGATCAGAGGATTGCTAAGGAGTGGTCAGATTCTGGGAAGATTACTATAATTCGTTCGTTCGGCTTGGAGAACAGATTACGCCCGTAATTCTTGCCAATGAGTAACGTGATTCTAGTAACCGAGTGTACCCGCGGTGCCTTGTCAAATAAAGAGTTATATAAAGAGTTATATAAAGAGTTCAAGACCAGTGATAGATAAAAAGAAAGAAGCATCGTTAAGAGGAGTACGGAAAAATGCTGCGTCGCCAGCGGAGGTTCCTCTTTGCTGTCGTTCTTCTCTCATACCTGTGCAGAGGTAATTGCGGCTTTATCTCCGAATTGCCTTCGAATCGTGGCACGCGGCCTCCGAATTGCCCTCGAGTCGTGGCAAAGAAGTTAGAAATAAAAATCATCATTTTCTTTCTATCATTACTACTCGAGGCTCGAAAAATCGCGACTTAGTATTCTCAAATCTGCCGGTTTCAATTCCGTCCTCCGAACATCCCTAGGAGAAATTGCTATAGTTGCTGTGATCCGGAGCCAACCAACTCAAAAAAAAAAAAATTGAATATTATTTCCATTGCATCGGTGTGCATTGTAGCTTATCTTCGATGAGACCACACGATTTTGCTCAATTTTTGTCGGCCGAGAGTTTCTTACCGCAGCTTCCTCGATTGATAACACGGTTTCCTATAAATATTGCATATCTAAAGGGGACTCATAGATAGTCTAGATCTAAGTATATTTTTTAAGAAAACGAAAAGATATGTGTGTGTGAAGTTGCAGTCTGAGAATTTAATACAATTTTCATAGGTGTGTAGTATATCGAAGAAGGAAAGAATTCAACGTTTGCTTCTTCTATCGAATTTATTTATTTACTTCTACTCTTCTTTGACTTTTCCTCGAGAACAACTTTCAATTTCAAAAACAACTTTTAATTGTGATTTACCAACTAAGTAAACATGTCCATGCGCAATCATTGCCTCGGTCGAATCTTATCTATTTATTTCATTGATCAGATGCATTGCGACAGTTGATTACGTTTTCTTATTGACCGAATAAGTCTCCGTCTCTTCTTTCCAGACTCAACAACTCTGAAATTAAATATATCATCAACAACTGACCAGATTATTATAAAAGAAGGCGAGCCTTTACAGTTGCATTGCTATGGCGATTCGGATTTTTTCTTCACGTATCCCACCAACCGGACACATCTTGTATGTAATGTAACAAAAAAATAATATTGTTTTACATAGTAAAAATTTTAAGTTAACTCTTTGACTACTGTTAGCGCCCACAGGCGCTTAGAAAATTTGCACTTGCGGTAATGCGAGCGTCTATAGGAGCTTAACCTAGTTCGGTCCATTTACGCGACAGGCGCCTACAGGCGCGCAAGAAGATTTTCCCGATCTGAAAGCTTAATATAAATGTTAAATTTTTAGTATGTACGCTAACAATTTAATGCAGAATACAGAGAAATAAATAATATTGCTTTAATGTAGTGAAATTCAATGTTTTGATTATTTGAATAAAGGGTGTCCCAAAATTATTGTAGAAGCGAGAAAGCTATTCCTGAGGTCATGTGAAGTAACTTTTTCCTTAACGAAAACACAATCCGTGGCTTCGTTTACGAGTTATTAACGAAAAACAGTGACCAGTGAGAGGCGAGATTAGCTGGCGCGAAGCGGCTGAGCCAACGAACGGCCGTAGCCCAAATCCGCTGATTGGCTCGGCCGCTTCACGCCAGCTGATCTCGCCTTTCATTGGCCAGTGTTTTTCGTTAATAACTCGTAAACGAAGCGGCAGATCGCATTTTCGCTAAGGAAAAAGTTACTTCAAATGACCTCAGGAACCACTCTAACAAAATGTTTCACCGTTTTCGGTGTACGTCGCGAATAAATTCTTACTATATGGTACGGTTGATGCGTCTTAAAGTCTGTCGAAGTCAAAGGCTCGAAGTTTACAATGCAAAGGTAAAATGATTGTAACTTATTCATTTAAAACAGTCTGATACAATCGAACACTATACATCACCTATCGACGTAAAGAAAACCCAGGTTGAAAATGGTACGCATTGGTATCATTTTCGTCGACCGAAAACAGTCTTTGGGGACACTGGTTGGTATGGTTGCTCATATTATTCCATCACTGCGGTCACCAGAGGTACTTATTCCGACGCAAGAAGCAGCTTAGTTTATGTCTATGTCGAGTGTAAGTGTTTTTCAAATTTATATTAAATTTCACAAATTGTCCCTAATCTCAGAGTCTAACCAGGGAGACTGCTCAAAGTACTAACGATGATTACTGTAGTTCAGTAGGCTAAATCTGCAGTGATCTTTGTTACATCAGGACGCTCCAATTTAAGAGTTAAACTATTGTGTTTCAGCTGAAACAGTTCGGTTCGTGGAACAAGCAAGATTGCATATTTTAATAGCGACTCAAGGAGAAAACGTTGATCTACCGTGTAGACCGACGTCGCCGACAGCGATAGTCAACCTTATAAAGTACCACCGAGTAGGTATTTACAAGGTAGAATTAAAAAAATTCTCTTGCATGAACTTCGTGAAGCAACGTAATAGTGAAGCTACAAAATATTGGGTTGGCAACTAAGTAATTGCCGATTTCAGTTATAGATGTCTCTCACTCCCATTTTTATGATATCCGTGAATGTTATATTATAAAATTATTATTCTTCTTCTTCTTCTTCTTCTTCTTATTATTATTATTATTATTATTATTATTATTATGTTATTTTTTATTATCCGTGAATGTTAGCAACTGGACAAATTGAATGCAGCGGTCAAGGAAAAGCGACCAGAATTGGTCGATCGTAAAGGTGTCATTTTCCAGCAGGACAATGCTAGGCCGCACACGTCTTTGTCCACTCGGCAAAAATTGATGGATATTGGTTGGGAATCGATGTTACACCCACCATATAGCCCTGATCTCGCGTCATCGGATTACCACTTATTTCGATCCCTGGACAACTCCCTTCGTGGTAAAACTTTTAACGATGATGACGCTGTAAAATCTCACTTAACTCAGTTTTTGGCCGAAAAGGATCAGACTTTCTACGAGCGTGGAATTTTCAAGTTGTCAGAGAGATGGCAAAAGGTCATCGAACAAAATGGAAAATACATTACAGATTAAACTTCATTCCAAGGA